AAAGCAATCACTGTGCGAGGGGCGGGGTACACCCTGGACAGGTCGCAAGTCCATCACAGGGACGCATAGAGACAAACGAGACAAACAACTATTCACTCTCTCACTCACACCTAGGGACAATTCAGAGTTACCAATCAGCCTAACATGCATGTTGAGAGGCAGCAGCTCTACCAGATGTGCCACCGTGCTGCCGTCTTTAAAAATATTTTCTGTAAAAACAAGAAATATTTTGCAGAAATATTAAATAAACTCCAATATGTTGATGTTAGAAGAAGAGCAGAGAGAACCAAGATCAATGGTGGCTCACTGTGCTCACCATGGTAACCACACACCAGTGTCTGTCACTCCCTGACTGCTAGGTTTTATTTTATTTATTCAACCTTTATTTATACAGATATTTTGATTGAGTCTCGAGAACTCATTTTCAAGAGAGACATCAATATACAGCAATAAAAAGCAATTAAAAACAATTTTCAGTTAAAAAAATAGTGTTGTAAAAACACACTGTTAACAGCATGGTCCTGTTAGCAGAGTTGTTCTGTTAGCAGTGCAGTGCTGTTAGCATAGTAGTACTGTCACAACATAGTCCTGTTAGCAGCATAGTCCTGTTAGAAGCATGGTTCTGTTAGCAGTATGGTTCTGTTAGCAGTGTGGTCTTGTAAGCAATGTGGTTTTGTTAGCAGGGTGGTTCTGTTAGCAGTGTAGTTCTGTTAGCAGTGTGGTCCTGTTAGCAGTGTGGTCCTGTTAGCAGCATGATCTTGTTAGCAGCTTGGACCTGTTAGCAGCTTGGACCTGTTAGCAGCATGGTCCTGTTAGCAGCATGGTTCTGTTAGCAGTGTCGTTCTGTAAGCAATGTGGTTTTGTTAGCAGAGTGGTTCTGTTAGCAGTGAGGTTCTGTTAGCAGCTTGGACCTGTTAGCAGTGTGATCCTGTTAGCAGCATGGTCCTGTTAGCAGTAAGGTCATGTTACCAGTGTGGACCTGTTAGCACTGCATGGTCCTGTTAGCAGCATGGTCGTGTTAGCAGTGTGGTCCTGTTAGCAGCGTGGTCCTGCTAGCAGTAAGGTCCTGTTACCAGTGTGGACCTTTTAGCAGCATGATCCTGCTGTTAGCAGTGTGGTCCTGTTAGCAGTGTGGTCCTGTTAGCAGCATGGTCCTGTTAGTAGCTTGGACCTGTTAGCAGCATGGTCCTGTTAGCAGCATGGTCATGTTAGCAGTGTAGTCCTGTTAGCAGCATGGTCTTATTAGCAGTGTGGTCCTGTTAGCAGTGTGGTCCTGCTAGTAGTATGGTCCTATTACCAGTGTGGACCTGTTAGCAGCATGACCTTTTAGCAGTGTGGTCCTGTTAGCAGCATGGTCCTGTTAGCAGTGTTGTCCTGTTAGCAGTGTGGTCCTGTTAGCAGTGAGGTCCTGTTAGCAGTGTGGTCCTGTTAGCAGCATGGTCATGTTAGCA